TCTGGTATAAGTAAAACACGAGGCTTAAGTAAGGATGTAATCACTTGTATTGCAAAACGTAGTGTTTCATTTTACAAAAATAATGAAATCTCTACTACTACTAAAACATTCAAAGAATAAAAATTTTATTGAATTTCCTGGTTTAGATAATCACTATTGTTATGTAGGAGATCACTTTTGGGTGAATCTGGGTGAAGGCTGGAGAGAAACTCTGTACTATTTTAATTTTGCAAATTCTGTGAGTCTGTAGTTATTTTAAAATAGAAAACTGAGGAATTTGCATATATGTACAATATGTAGTATGTTACAAGGTATCGGGTAGCTCATCTGTGAGGTGAAACAAGTGTGCCTTTGCTGAGTGCCCCGTCTGGGTGGTGACTGCTCCACCAAAAGAGCAGAGATGCCAAAAGCAAGGAGCAAGAAGGAAAGAAAAAGAAACGAAGATCTGAAATGAGTAACCGGATTTTGTGACACTGGACTGGACCCCTTTCTCTTAGTTTAGCACCTGAACTTGATTATTCTAATATTCTCATTTTAATTCTAGTTAAAGTTACTTCTCCCAGTTTAACTTGTATAAATTGAAAAGGTGGAAGCACTGACAAAAGCTAACAGAGATTATCAAGAAACTGAACATAGTAGAGAAGATACTGAAAACAGGAAGGGGATTTATTTATTCGCTCACTTGTTCAAGGATGATTCGTCAGCTCCTGACTCTGCATCACACACTGTCTGATGCAGAGGGTGAACACACTCTGACCTCCTGGCACTTACACCCCAGGCCGCAGAAAGACGAAAAGCCAGCAGACAAGTGGAGCCCTGTACCACCAGGTAGCAGTGCATGCCGTGGGAGGGAACACGGCAAGGCAAAGCCGCGGAGGGGCGGGAATCAGAGGAAGTAATCCTTTAACAGTTGGAGTGATGTTGCTTCTGTAGCAAGGAGGAGATAGAGCTAGAGCCGTCATAAATTTAATAGATTTGCAAGAGCAAAAAATGTAAATGTTAATCCTAGCGATGCTAGTGCAACTAAACTTGATTGCTGTATCATTTTAATTTTATGTCTAGTTAAACTTAGTTTATTTCTGCCATTTTTCCCACTGCTGGCAGTGTTTTATTTTCATATTTATTTTGTATGGTAACAGCTATAAAAATGTTTGAGTTCTTTGACCCATAATGCAGTGATTCTCAATCCCTAATGCCCTCTTTTTGACAATAAATATTTTGTAACCTTCCCTTTACTATTCTGAAGTTAAGTCATGGATCATGTAGCCTATCTAGAGGCATCATTTCAAGAATTCAAGACAAGACTTCCAGGAAACTAAAGGCAAGTAGTTTATAATAAAGTATCATGGCAAGATGAACTGGTGCCTGCATCTATACACAAAATTTCCATGGTGGCCTCAAATGCAAACTGAGCCCAGGCTCATGGAGCAGTTAAAGCTTGGAATATTGCAGGTTGCTGTGGCAATGGGAAAAGAGAAAATGGCTGAGTCTCTTATGCACTGGCCTGAAGCCTCTAATGTCAAGGGGCAGGGGAGAGTAATCCTTCCACAGGCCAGGGGCCGGGAGAACCTGAAAGATTCAGTGTAACTGAGTTGGGCTCTAGGCCCTCAGTTGCCTGCATGTGTTTGACCACATGGCATTTTTTTTTTTTTTATCTTTTTTGTGACTGGTAAGGGGATCGCAATGCTTGGCTTGGTGTGGTCTGCACCGCGCTCAGCCAGTGAGCGCACCGGCCATCCCTATATAGGATCCGAACCCGCGGCGGGCACCACTGCGCTCCCAGCACCGCCCTCTCCCGAGTGCACCACGGGGTCGGCCCGACCACATGGCATTTGACAGGACACTGGGTGTGGTGCTGTCCTCTGTTGGTGAGACCGTACCATGTGTTGCACACCCAGCTCTGTCCATGACACCAATAAAGCTCCCCTAGGCAAAAATGCCTTGGCAGGTTTTCAGCATCCTCTCATAGGCAGGGGAATGCTCTTTAAACACCTCTGTATCAACCAAGCTCATGGGGATTTATTCTCCAGTAACAATCCAAAAAAGGACAGTGCTATTTGTCTGAATATATTGATATCAAGGTTATTATGACGTTGTAAAAACTGGAAGCAGCCTGAATATCCAACCAAATGAAAATCTTTAGTTAGCTATGATTTACCCAAGGAAAATTATACAGCCATTAAACAGATAAATAGAATCCTATATAGCAATGCAAACCAAAAATATCATTTATGAAATACCATTGATTGAAAGCATATATAAATTTATATAATCTATATAAGAACATGCATATAAAACAAGGAAGAAATACCTAAAATTGATACTCAAAAGAGAATGAATCAGTTACCTGTTGATTTATAACAACCCACCCCCAAATTTAGTGCCTTGAAGCAACAATTTGTTGCTCGTGACTCTGTAGGTCGGCAGTGAGAGTGGGGTTCTCAAGGTGTGATTCCTCTGCTGGTCTTCCTGGGCTCACTCACTGCTGGCAGCAGCTGGAGGCTCGATGGGGGCAGGTTGGCCCAAGGTAGCCTCAGCCACACTCCTAGCGGTTGTTGCTAACTGTCAGTGAGCCCCTCTTTGTAGCGAGCTAACCATGGACATCTTTGAACACACCTGGAAAAACATGCAGCATTTTAAGCTCAGATTGTAACTTGAAAGCTGCTGAGGGAAGAGATTAGGGAGATTGTTTTATTTGTACATTCTAATGCTATTCCTCAAAGGCTTAATTGACCAGAGAATGTCAGAGGAAAAAAGAGAACAGGCCAGCCCTCTGGCCCACAGAAGGCAAGTGGGCTTCCTCTGAAGTGTCAACAAAAATGATTGGTCCCAGGACCAGTGTTAGAGGCTGACCCAGGCCAGGGGAGAGAGTGGTAAGTAGGTAGTTGGAGGGATGGAGGGAAGTGAGGTAAATGCCATGCATTTGCCCTGGGAAAATGGAGGCCCCTAGGAGGGTGGGGTCTTGTGTTTGATTCCTCCTAAGGAGTTTGCTAGCGGCAAATAGATCTTATTTGGCTGCAGCATGTAAAGACACTCTGGCATTTTTACATTTCTGAGACATGGCTGATGAGTGATAAACTCTGCACAGGTTGTGATGCGGGAACTGCTGGCTCAATACACCAAACAGTATGAAGAAAAACCACTCTGTGGTCTACTCCAAAACTGGGCTGAGTCTGTGGGTGACCCGCTGAGAACCAGGTATGTACTGCTCAGGCTGCCACTGTCTCCTGCCTTTGGTGTCTTGTTACAGAGCCTTGACATGGCACAACTTATGCTTGTTCGAAATTTTTAATATTTGATGAGCAGTATACAAAAATATCTAAGTATGTCAAATTAATGCTCACGTACCCGCTACCCAACTTAAGAGCTAAGACATTGCTAGTTCTATTCTGCCTGTGTTCCTTCTTCATTATATGTTTACTGTTCCAAGCACTTTATAGGTATTAATCCTAAAAACCCCATGAGGCAGGTTCTTATTTTCATTTCACAGATGAGGAAACTGAGGCACAGAGATTGAGTATTTTTCTCAAGGTTACATGGTTAGTGAGGGGCAGAGCTGGGATTTGAACCCAGACAGTCTGGCTTCAGGATCCATGGTTTTGATTGTTTTTATTGATTTTTGTAGCATGGTCTCTTAGCTTTATAAATAAAGCATAACATATGAGGTCATCAAGTATATATTTTTTAAAAATTTGAGAGTTTCACTTCCCACATTTAATTCTTGGAATACACTAGAAATTTTTGTCTCTGGGTTGAGGAAGGGGTCTAATTTGTTTTTTTTTTCTGCCTTAGAGGTTGTCATTTGTTCCTGCACCATTTACCAAATTGGCCATTCTTTCCTATTGATCTGCAATACTGGTTCTGGCATTTATAAATTTCCATATATATGTGAGTCCACTTCACAGATGTCTATTTTGTACTCAGTCTGTTTATATGTCCTTAACCCAACAATGGACTGTTATAATTATCCTGGCTTTATAATAAAATATTGCTATTATTATATTATATCATTATATCTAAAATATAATACAGAAATGTGTTGACTATTCTGGGTCTTCTGCATTTCCATGATCAGTTTGTCAGGTTCCCCCAAAACAAAACAAAACAAAACAAAACAAAACAAAACATCTGTGGACACAAAAGGACAAATTCTGTAAGACTGCACTTGTATGAAGTACCTAGAGTAGTCAAATTTGTAGAGACAGAAAATAGAAAACTGGCTACCAGGAGCAAAAAGGAATAGAGAATGGACAGTACAGGGTTTCAATTTGGGGTGATGGAAAAGTTCTGGAGGTGGATAGTGGTGGCAGAAGCGGAACAATGCGAGTGCACTTAATGCCCCTGAACTGTGCACTTAAAAAATGGCTAAAAGGGTAAATGTTTTGTTATGTATATTTTACCACAATTAAAAAAATCTGCTTACATTTTCTTTGAAAGTATATTAAATCTATAGATTTGCAGAAAATGTGACATATTTATAGAATAGATCTGCCTCTCTTTCAGAGATTTTAGTCTTCTCAGTGTCTTCCAGAGTTTTATAATTTTCTTCCTACATATTACATTTTTGATAGATTTATTACTAGTTACTTTATAATTTCGCTGGTATTGTTAAAAGAATATTTAAAAAATTTTTTTGTTAATAGTTTATTGTACATGCAGTTGACTTATGTATATAAATCTGACTGTAAAAAATTTTCTTCTAAAAGTGTCTGTAGATTGTTTTTTTCTATAGACAATTATCTGCAAATAATGTTGCTTTATTTCTTCTTTTTCAATTGTTACTCCTTTTATTCTTTTCATGTCTTACTGCAAAGGCTAGGACCTCCAATACAGTTTGAATAGAAGAAATCAGAGAAAGTGTTCTTTTGTCTTATTGCTGGTTTTAAGAAGAATTAGTTTAAACATTTCACTATTAAGAATAATGTTTGCTGAAGTTTTTAATACACTTTACTTCTTAAAGGAGCTCATACTTTTTAATGTATTTTTTCATTGCTAGGTGAATTTTATCAATTTTTTCACATCTATTGAAATAATCTTATGATATTTCTTCTTTATTCTGCTAATTGGATTAATAACCTTTGTAAATCTTCTAATGTTAAACTAACCACCCTTGCATGCTTAAGAAACAATTTTATTATGCTGTATTGTCATCTTTATATTTTCCTGGGTTTGACTGTTAGCATTTGGGGGGGGGCAGGGTGCTATATATATATTGGCTTATTATTTTCCATTCTTCTACTTCATTGATTTAGATTTATATCAAAGTTTTACTGGTCTCATAGAGTTATTTGGGGGAATGGTTTCTTATTCTGTGGAAGAATTTGATAAATTATTTTTTGTTTTTATTTTTGGTCATTTCATTACATATAAACATCTTCAGCAGAGAGAATGTTAGTAAGTCTAGAAAACGGCTTTGATGTGGAAGAGGTTGAGGTCCTGGTGTTCTCTGTTGGTTGTGTTTATCCTTGCTGTATTTCTTCCCTGTTGTAATTACTAATCAATCATGACTCACATAGGGAATGGAAAAGTTCTAGCCTAGTTTACATTTTATACTATTACTACAGTAGAGTTTCAGACAAAAGCAAAAAGCAAAGTAAAACATGAAAACAAAAACAAAACAAACCCAGTTTTCAAAGTCACCATAACTCACTTGAAATAAAATTGTTTTAAAAATGGTCTCCCTTTCCTGTAAGAAAGACCTGTTACCACTGGAGCATATTGTTTTCCTCTTCACTACCCTGTATCAAAGCAATGGGGTGCTCTAGGGTGCAGCCCTTAAAAATGTCACCTGTCTCCAACCCTAAAAATCAACCAACCCAATTCAGTCACTTGGCTTTATTTATTTATTTATTACTAATAGACCTTATAGCAGTTTTTGCTTTAAAGAAAAATTGAGTAGAAAGTACAGTTCACATACTACACCCACCCACACAGTTTCTCCTATTATTAACATGTTACATTAGTGTGGTACACTTGTCACAATTATGAACCAACATTGATAGATACATTATTAATAACTCAGTTTTATATTAGGGTTCCCTCTTTGTGTTGTACAGTTCCATGGGTTTTGTCAAATGCATAATGTTACGTATTCTCCATTACGGTATCAGACAGAATAGTTTCACTGCCCTAAAAACTCCTCTGGGCTCCACCTGTTCACCCCTCCCTTCCTCCCTTATCCCCTGAAACCCTGGCAACAACTGATGTATGTATATACTTTTCATTTTCTCAGTTGTCATTTCTTTGTGTTGGGAACATGCAAAATCCTCTCTTCTAGCTAACTGAAAGGACGCAATGAATTGTTGTTAATTATACGTTATCCTCCGGTGCTATAGAACACTAGCTCTTGTTCCTCCTATCTAGCTGTAACCCCGTATTTGTTACCCAACCTGTCACTGTCCTCCTTTCCCCCTTTCTCAGCTTCTGTTCATAAATTATTTGAAAACTTCTAGGTCTGGGGAAAAATTATAAATATTGATTTAATTAATTTAATTGTTTTAAGACTATTTAGGCTTTTTTCTTTTTCTGTCAGTTTTAGTAAATTGTATTTTTCTAGGAATCTCTCTATTTGATTTTGAATTTATTGGTATAAGGTTTTTCATACTATTCTCTAATTATCTTTTTAACTTCTGTGAGATCTGTAGTTGTGTCCCATTTGTCATTACTACGATTGGTTTTTGTGCCTTCTCCCTTCTCTGTTGTTGTACAATCTCACCATATGTTTATCTGGTTTGTCAGTTTTCAAACAACCAACTTTTCCCTTTGTTGATCCTATATGTTGTAGCTTTATTTTCTATTTCACTGTTTTATGCTCATAAACGTATTATCTTGTTTATTCTGCTTTTGGAGAGCTTATTATTTTTTTTTCTTTTGTACATTTTAAAAATTATTAGTTTTATTTGGAAGCAGATTACTGACCTCCACAACCCAAATGTGTTAAACTANGGCCCAAGGTAGCCTCAGCCACACTCCTAGCGGTTGTTGCTAACTGTCAGTGAGCCCCTCTCTGTAGCGAGCTAACCATGGACATCTTTGAACACACCTGGAAAAACATGCAGCATTTTAAGCCCAGATTGTAACTTGAAAGCTGCTGAGGGAAGAGATTAGGGAGATTGTTTTATTTGTACATTCTTGTAGCGAGCTAACCATGGACATCTTTGAACACACCTGGAAAAACATGCAGCATTTTAAGCTCAGATTGTAACTTGAAAGCTGCTGAGGGAAGAGATTAGGGAGATTGTTTTATTTGTACATTCTAATGCTATTCCTCAAAGGCTTAATTGACCAGAGAATGTCAGAGGAAAAAAGAGAACAGGCCAGCCCTCTGGCCCACAGAAGGCAAGTGGGCTTCCTCTGAAGTGTCAACAAAAATGATTGGTCCCAGGACCAGTGTTAGAGGCTGACCCAGGCCATGGGAGAGAGTGGTAAGTAGGTAGTTGGAGGGATGGAGGGAAGTGAGGTAAATGCCATGCATTCTTCCTCTGAAGTGTCAACAAAAATGATTGGTCCCAGGACCAGTGTTAGAGGCTGACCCAGGCCAGGGGAGAGAGTGGTAAGTAGGTAGTTGGAGGGATGGAGGGAAGTGAGGTAAATGCCATGCATTTGCCCTGGGAAAATGGAGGCCCCTAGGAGGGTGGGGTCTTGTGTTTGATTCCTCCTAAGGAGTTTGCTAGCGGCAAATAGATCTTATTTGGCTGCAGCATGTAAAGACACTCTGGCATTTTTACATTTCTGAGACATGGCTGATGAGTGATAAACTCTGCACAGGTTGTGATGCGGGAACTGCTGGCTCAATACACCAAACAGTATGAAGAAAAACCACTCTGTGGTCTACTCCAAAACTGGGCTGAGTCTGTGGGTGACCCGCTGAGAACCAGGTATGTACTGCTCAGGCTGCCACTGTCTCCTGCCTTTGGTGTCTTGTTACAGAGCCTTGACATGGCACAACTTATGCTTGTTCGAAATTTTTAATATTTGATGAGCAGTATACAAAAATATCTAAGTATGTCAAATTAATGCTCACGTACCCGCTACCCAACTTAAGAGCTAAGACATTGCTAGTTCTATTCTGCCTGTGTTCCTTCTTCATTATATGTTTACTGTTCCAAGCACTTTATAGGTATTAATCCTAAAAACCCCATGAGGCAGGTTCTTATTTTCATTTCACAGATGAGGAAACTGAGGCACAGAGATTGAGTATTT